CAAGTAGCTGGGACCACAGGTGCCCACCACAATGCCCAGCCACTTTTTTGATTTTAGTTGTTATTGTTGTTTGGTAGGCCTGGGCTGGATTTGAACCTGCCAGCTCTGGTGTATGTGGCTGGCACCCTAGCCGCTTGGGCTTACAGGTGCTGAGCCTCTTTTTTATTTATTTATTTTTTTGAGACAGGGTCTTGCTCTGTCATCCTGGCTAGAGTGCCACCACAGTCATCATAGCTCATGGAAACCTCAAACTCCCGGGCTCAAGGGATCCTCCTGCCACAGCTTCCTGAGTAGCTGGGGCTACAGGTACATATCACAATGCCTAGCTTTTTTCTAGTTTTTCTATTTTTAGTAGAGACAGGGTCTCACTCTTTTGCTCAGTCTGGTCTCGAACTCCTGGTCTCAAGTGATCCTCCTGCCTCAACCTCCCAGAATGCCAAGATTACAGGTGTGAGCCATCACACCCCACCCATAACCAGTCTCTTAGAGCAACTGCTCCCCAAGACCTCCAGTGGTCCTTAGGTATCTTCTCAACCTACTTTTAAAGGCTTGGAATGCAGACCCACCCATTCTGTGGATGGTAAACACTGAGGCCCTGGAGGATTGAGAGACCTGCCCAACTCACAAAGCCTGGGCTTTCTGCTCCTTTCCGCTGGGACTTTCAGCCAAGTTGCTCTCCAGGAACTAAGTGCCCTTTCCTCCTACTCCCCCTTCACCCGCCCCCTACTCTAATGAGGAAGGAACAGAGAGAAAGAGTAAAAGAAACTCAGGCTGGTGATGTGTTAAATTGTGGCCCCAGAAAAAACACCCGTAGCACAGTGCCAGCCACATACACCAAGGTGGCAAGTTCAAACCCAGCCTGGGCCAGCTAGACAATAATGACAATTCCAACAACAAAAAAATAGCTAGGCGTTACGGCAGGTGTGTAGTCCCAGCTACTTGGGAGGCTGAGGCAAGAGAATCGTTTAGGCCCAAGAGTTGGAGGTTGCTGTGAGCTGTGACATGACAGCACTCTACCCAGGGCAACATAGTGAGACTATCTCAAAATAAAAGAAAGACAAGACACATCTAAGCCCCAACCCTGGTACCCATGATGGTGAGGTTGTTTGGAAAAAGTCTTAATTAAGGGTCCTCAGATGGGACTCACCCACTTAGGGTAGGCCCTAAGTCCAATGACAGGGGTCCTCATCAGAGGGGAATGAGATGGGGCAGAGATCAGAGCAATTCATCTACAGTCAAGGGACACAATAGGCTGCCAGGTGCCACCAAGAGGGGACTGGCCTCCAGGAGGAAACCACTGCCACACCTGATGTCGGATTTTGGACCTGCTGCTGGCAGCCCCACTTTGTGCTAATTTGTTAAAGCAGCCACAGGGCTCTCCAGTGTGGAAGTCCTGGGAACTCCTTCAGGGGATGGTCCAAGGATCCATCTGTTCTCAGGGCTGGACAGAGCTACAGCCCAGCACTTTTTGAGGTTCAGCTCAGAGGTTGGGCATTTGTCCAGGGACACAGCTGCCTGAGAAATAGCCAGCAGCACACTCAGAACTTGGCGGCCCCCATCCTAGAGCTGGTGTCCACCTCCCTGAACATCTTCCTGCCCCATAGAAGACTAGAATGGGGCCACCTGGACAAGCCACTCGCCCCCACTTCATTGTTCCATGGTGGAGTGGGAGCAACCAGGTGGGGCAATGCAAGAGCT